GTCGGGTCCTGTTTCCACCTTATCAAGCTCGTCATCACCCTCCTTTTTCTCAATCTCCCAATCGTAGTTATTGGCAAGAATTATGAAGAATTGTAAGGCACACAATACCAGAATGGCTAACATTCGGTAGTAAGAGTCAAGATGACTTGTGTTAACGTCCTCACCTATCCAGTTTTTCAAAGTCAGAATAAACACCACCGCAATCAATTTTCCCCCTGCATCCACAGCTTTAGTGAATGCCATTGCGAAATGATGGATTGACGCTGGTGCATAGTCACGGAAGAACTCTTCCATCCCATCTTCAATAAGTCCGTGTGCAAATCCTAATAGGGAAAACTGTGGAGCCAACAATAAGATGCTCATGGGAATGGGGTTTCTGTCTGGATTGTCATTGAATAAATCCAATCTGTGATTCTCAAGAAGCCAAGCAACGATGCAGCATCCGGAACAAGCACACATACCTAAACTCATTCTCACAAGCCCAGCACGCCTTTCTTGGTTGTCATCTTTGCAAAACTTTTTGATCAGATAATCTGCTAGGTTTGAAGCTATGAACTTTGTGCATTTCTGTACCACTAAAAAAGAAGACTGAGGACTTGGAACCTGGTAGTTTTCCCCAATTTTGTCGTTTAATTTGTCAGTTTGTTCCATGAAGAATGTGGAACCAGCTGCGTCAACCACATAATAGAAAAGGAATGGAAACCATAAGGGGAGCTTTCTTAGAAACAGCCATAATTCCTTCTTTCCATTGTTGTAACTCTCATGATCTCTTGGCCTGGAATTTGATTCTCTCCTGCGCTGTGTTTTGGAAAGAAAGAACCTGCCTGAGCAAAGTCGAGATATCCTGGAACAACTACTTTAAATCAATTGTGTATTATATTGTTGACCATAAATATCTATCTTTGCTAGAGATCGAAGAATATTTTAAGGAATCAATCATGAAAGTGTTTGCCAAAACTTAAAAAATAATTGGTTGAAAAGTAAAATCTTTTCTCATAGATTTAAAAATTTATTGGAAGAAAGTTAAAAATTTAGTTTTTAAAGTGCCTTTTAAGTTTTGAGAAAATTACAAACCTAAGTTTTCTATAAAACTTAAAACTAATTTAAAAACCAATTTCTAAATTTTCTTTCAATAAATTCTTAAATTTATAATAGATAAGTCTGCTTTTAAAGCAATTGATTTTTAAGCTTTGCTAAACACCACCCTTACCTATTAAGCAGAGAACGCATTGAATCCTCCCTTTCAGTGGAACTTGATTGATTTAAACGCTTGTAATAATACACGAAGCCAAACCCGAAAAGCAAGTAAACCGTTCCCGTTACTATCGCTGAAGACATGAAGATTGGTTTCCAATCAAGTTTTGATATCCACAAGTTAGCTATGGCTGCCCCCAAAAACCTAGCAATAAACCTGCACATGAATACACGGGCCTCAATTCTCTCCTCGTCTTGTTCTTTCTTTTCTAACTGAAGACGCCTAGCAAGGAAGACGCATATGAATCCTTCTCCTGCTTCCCCTACAGTCAATGGTACCAATGCAAAGTAAATCATTCCAATGCCTAGGGTTGGAGTAACCCAGAGTATCAGGGGTGCCCGGCCTGCAACAAAAATATTGGCAAGTAGTTGCTGCATCAGTTTTGCGTTTGGTGATATATATATATTTAAGGCAAAAGGTGGATTAATGTGGTTCAAGAAATACTCTGGCATACTCCCTCCATTTTTTCAGTTGTTATGTATATACCAAAAAAAAAAAAAGTATAAAGTAGTCCTAACTTTATTAGAATATATGCTTTATTAGAATATATGTATATATATTCTAATATGTTGAATTACGTTAGCTAATGGTCTCTGTTTTACAATTTTTGGTATAACCTGGACTATAAAACAAGTTTCTCATATATTTATACACACACACTAATAATAGCTACCAGTAAAAAACACTTAATAGATACATGCTCAACACTAGTTTTCGTGCTTGGAATTTTCATATTCAACATTTGTAATCACTTTACAACCAAAAGAAGCACTTAATGAACTCAGTAACTTCAAATTAAAATTAGAATAAAAACATTTATTTACCCTTCATTTAATAGAGTTGTGGTAATCTTTTTTTGGTTTTGGTTTTTAAAATTTAAACAATTAAAATTAACAAATAAAAATTAAATTTAAAAATTAAGATTGAGAAAATAATTAGTATATCATTCGATTCAATATACCGCTCCAAACCGATCCAATTCAATTATTAAAATATAATATAAATACAACCGATTCAATTAATTCTCATATGATGTATGTATGATTATATTTTTAAGTATGTTTACTTTTAATTTTAGATAAATAATAATAATTTTTTAATAAGTGTATTGTGCATTGTGCATTGTGCATTGTGCATTATATTAAATCAGAAGAGTATACCTATCAATGTCTTTAAAATTAACAATTTATTAGGTATACATTTTTAAAAATAATACCCAAAACTTTAAATTTAA